TCCTGTAAGACTCAACACCAAAAGTAGATTTCTTGAGGACATTTTTTTTTTCTCTTCTCAGATCATTGTTATAAGTTTGGGAGTTAAAGGCAAAAGAGAACTTTTTTTTTTTCTCCCCAATCATTTTGAGGCATTCAAATTAAATTGACACCCTTGTCAAAGTATTCTTGATGTTCAGCTCACATCTACACAAATGCAGACAGATGATGGAGGGGAGAGGAGGGTTGACAAGAGATGTCCCTGAATTGATTAGACATTGCTCAAAATGGATCATGAACAAATGAATGATTGTCCTTCTCCCCATTGTCTTCCAGTCTGATGGAGTAGCATCTGACTGGTAGGCGGAGACTATTTTGTGTCTTTTTTTTTTAATGTAGTTGCCAATTCTCCTCACTTGTGTATTGTCACATGTAGGCTCATGCCTCCTCTGAGGCAGATCCCATGTGTCTGAGCAGGGTAGGCTATTCAGAGGAGCAGGGGCTCATCTTGACAAGGCATCTAAGCCCAGGCAAGTGAGAGCTCAGAATTCAAAACAGGAACCTGAGCAAAAGCTATTTGTTGCTCCTCCTAATGATGAGTGAAGAGGAGTTTAGCAAAGAGGCACTAAACTACATTCCAGAGAAGACGTCCTGTGGCCAGACACTTCCAACTGCAATCCTTTGAAATTGACAATCCAAGGTCATCTTTGCTCAAGAGTAGATCATGAGTACATTAGCTTATTCTTGCTTCACACTCAGCTACTAAATGCAATATAAGAAGCAGTTACACTCTCTTACTTAATCTATAGAATTCCCTATACTATATATTCTTCATATGGAAAAAATCAGAGCCAAATTCAAATTAGTACTCTAAATTTAGCCTGGATAAGAGGCCCTTATTTCGATTATTCAGTAATTTTTCTAACCACATTGCCTTTCAAGGTTACAGAATAGATTATGAAGAAAGTATTTTATTCCTATCACTTATGACCACATTGGATCATTTATTTATAAATAAGACATACATTGGAATGATATGAAAAATCAAAACCAGAGGAACTAGATTATTAATGTATCAGCTTATCCACAATGATAATGGTGCTAATGTCTACACAGTACCATTCCTGTTGATGAATTCAAAATAATAGCACAAAACTCAAGAGGCCCCTGACTTTCAGTCATTTATGTCTCATTGGTTACTGCTTTCTTTGTCTCCAGAACAAAAATGATGAAAATACATGAGCCTGAATACAGAGAACTATGGAGTTTTAAAAGAGAGGCTTTTCCTAGCTATGATACCATTCTGTTTGCTGAAGATGCTTTGGGACATGGGTTTAAACTGCCTAATAGATACCTTGGCCAAGGCCTATTTAGTAAATGAAGGTAGTCTCTCCCCAGCGGCTGCCTAAGTGAGATTCCTTTAATCTCATGGTACAGTTGGTTACCTAAGGTCAGCAGGTGACCACTTCTGTTTAAATAAATTCTTAAACATTCAGAGGTACAGTGAAAGTGATTGGATATATATGGCTCTCAAATTTGTGCAAGTTTTAGTTTCAGACTCTCTGTTGGGGACAATTGACATTGGCAACACCTTTTGTAGTATTTTCTTCAAGGAGGTTCAGCTGCCATTTAAGGAATTATCATCAGCTATGACAAGTTCATAAAATTCATCCAAAAACTTGTCAGCGATGCCATTCAGACTTAGATATTGAACCAAGGACAAGCCAGCTTACCTAGCATCTT